TTAGAGAAAACAAGAATACTATAGAGGTCTTTGAAAAACTTTTGATAAAACATTAGTTTGCTCCAAGTAATATGTAACACAATAAGCAAAGCTCACACGAAACAAGTAAATAAGAAGTGTCACACTCAGAGGCGACAAAGGGAGAATATTAGGAAGCCATGGCTATGGCTCGAATTTTATAACTTTTAGCTGACTTGGGGAACAATCAGGTTTTGAAACCGGTAGAACCATCATCATCTGAAATACACAAAACATCAAATTTGTTAACGCTCTCAAACGTACGACGATCTCTTTGGAGGTGAGCAACGGTCCTCATTTGATGACTTCTATAGATGATGTTGATGTGCTTGTGGCTTTACGCTTCTGTTCTGGTGGGCCTATAGATGTTGCAGCAAATGTTGTCTTCATAATGTTAAACTTAAGATCCTCTACATGGTCTACAAAAGCGTAAACTTTATGACCCATAAACCATTCATGGCGTTCTCCAAAATCTTGGATTTCAACACTTAGTAGAGTGTTCTTTTCGGGATTGAAGTAGAAAACATAAAACGGTTTAATAGTGTATATGTTGATATTACTTTTATTCTTCGACAAAACAATTTCACCTGAAGCAGTCGTCCCAACAACAGAAAGATTGTTCTTAACCTTTACGAATTCATTCTCAGCCTGCAAAGTGTAGACGTATTTCGACCATTCATGTTTCTCAACATCCTCTAGAACCCACATAGATAACTCAAGGGGAAATCCACCATCACAAGCATACTTTAAACTAATCCCACCTACTTTACCCTTGTAGTTTATCAAATGTGCATTTGATGTATCACGAAAGTGTTTTGCTTCTATAAACATGAATTTCTCAGACCTAATATCAAAGCAAACTATCACATAAGACCCGTCATCAGTTTTTTTAGCTAAGTAAAAAACAACCCCATTGAAGCATACTCCTTCACCACAACGATTATGGGTTAAGGGACATTGGATCTTCCTCCAACTCATTTTTCCAGTTCCTAGTGTCAAAATATGATGATCATCATATGCATAAGACATGGACAATACCTTGAATTGCTTGTCAACCGGATCAAACCCTAAAAAATTTCCCGCCTGTCCGAACCTTCTCAGTAATTTAGGCAAGATCACATATTGTCCCGTGCTAGGGTTACATATCATACGCACTTCTTCATCGTACTCCTCCTTTGAGATCCACATACTAGGGAAATAGATCAAACCATTAGCATAGCTACAAGAGTGTCGCCTTTCGCCTTTAGATAACTTCATTTGATAATCGGCAGCTACTACAAGAGACGATTTCCCATATGGATTCTGAGGATGAGGCGATGAGAAGAAGCTCCACTCGTGGCATCGTACGACTACGAATAACAGACGTGGACGAGCCAAGGACCTAGTCAAGAACATTTCGGTGAAATATGGACCGCAAACCATGGACCTCCATAGCTTCGATACGCAGAGAAACCTCGCGATTGACTTTTCGGGTAATCTCGAGAGTATATCAAAAATGAGATCGACCGGGATGGAAGTCATGATCGTGTTTGCTGATAGGACTGAAAGGGAGAGATATGGGAGGAATACAAATCATTGGAGAGACTCTAATATAGAGTTCGGGGGACCTAGGGCATTAATTTATACCGAACCAAATCAAGTATATATTTATTCGGTTTGATTTCGATTTAAAGGTATAAAAACCGGTCACCAATATTCTTTACTCTATCAAGAGATATGAGAGATATAAATGTGGTTCCCTTGTCTCTTTTTCTTGTTTCACATTAAGAATTTTCTAATGATAAATATTAAACAAAAACGAAAATGCAGTGGTCCCTAGAATTTTTGAAAAAGATTTGAGAATCGAAGACTTAATCATGGGATCTGCAATGCGAGAGTAAAGGGAAAAGTGGCAAACAAGGATGGTATCTGCACAACAAGCAAATTAGAGATTGTGAGTAGATAATCAAGTGAGAAAGTTCAATTTAACCAAACAAGTTAAAAGACATTAGACTAAATCAGTACCATTATTATTAATTAAACAGCATTTTGTTGAGTTCTTAGCCATATAATGGCAAATTTGGCCTGAGAATAGGGAATTTTGCCAAATACCTTGTCTTGAGAGGTATTTGAATGATAATTTATGTCTTATGATCATTCAATGCAACTTCAAAACAAATCGAAGGAATTAGTAACGTCATTTCATCATTCTCGTCTTCTGTAGTGTAGATCGTAGCTAGTATCGGTCAATGTTGTCTCGATCATCTCCTATAAAGATAAGATCATGACTTGTGGCAACAAATATCGGATACAAATTTTGTTGAAGCCCAGCGGAAAATAAGTCAAGGTTTTAAACAACCCTTGTTTATGGAAGTCTTCGTTAGAAATTAGAATTACTATCAGGTTTTTCTTTCCCCTGCGATTGTTTTTAAAGACATCGACAAAGAAGTGAGAAACACTATCTCTGCCAGACGGACCAGGAAGCTCTCTAGGGACTTTATGGTTCGTTGGATTAGATGAGTTTTGTTGATTGACACTCAACATTTGGTTGTAAATTTTGTTTTTTATTTCTTTTTTTGGCAAGTTTACATATTATAGGTTAAGCTCTTTTGTAAAACCTCACATTTCATTTTATAAGATATTCACATTCCCATAAAAAAAAGAACTTAGAATTACGCAGATTGTAGTCAACGTCGTGCCTCATGATTCGTGAATGTCCTCCGGACACAGAGACATGTGCCATCTGTTTGGAGAAATATTAAAAGCGAGACCTGATGAATGTCCTCCAGACTCAAAGACATGTGACATGCATCTTCTGTTTGCCTAATTGTTTGCATGAGTTTCATGAAGAATGTGTGAGCAAGTGGTTTGACTTTGATCCACATAATAATAACTTTTGCCCTCTCTCTCGCAAACCTATTTTCGAGGAAGAACAACCACAGTGAAAGCTGAGTCTAATTAGGGTTTCAAAACATGTTCCTTTTTTGTGGTTGTAATGTTTTTAATCCGTGTGTCCGATCGAATTCTAATCAGGGTTTCACTTATAATTTAGATTTTATCTTTGAAGGAGACTTTAAAATGCTAATTAGGGTTTTCTCAATGTTTATGTATTTATATCAATACCATTTTGTTGAATATGCAGTTTGATTTAATGAAACTCAGATTCTCCATTTGTTTTTTCGCCTTTTGAATGTTAAATTATATTCAAAGAAAAATAAACTGTTTTTTAGTTTAATTTTGAAAGGTATTTGAAATAGAAAACAAAGTTTTAAAAGGAAAAAATAGAGCTTTTAAGTAGAAACATAGCTTTTGTTTCAACCTACCTTAACTTTTGAAGTTGAAAACCTGAATTCAGATTTTCAAATTGAAAATTTCACTACAAGTTATAAACCGGCAAACAATAGGAAACATGGGGCATGATTGGTATCAGCTGTAGATTTACATTTTTTTGCTGTAGAGTTATGACTGTAAGTTTATTGGGTATGGATGTGTAATATTTTGCATGTAGAATTGAAAACTTTGGAAAGTTAAAACCGTCTTCTACCCTCAAAAAAATTGAGTGAAAGAAATATTTCGGCTGTAAGAAAAAAAAAAAGCCAAAACTTTTAAAGGTTGATTGGATCCATTTTAAAGCTTTAGAAATATTTTTACTTTGTAAAGTCTCCAAAGCACTTGCCAGTCAAGTCCATGATGATTTGGTTTAAGCTCTGGTATATATGTTATGTTGAGAAATTTGCTAAAATAACCAACAAAAATTTAATAATTAACAAACTAACCAAAGAAAAAAAGCACAACATTATTCTCTGTATAAATTATAATATATACAATTTTACCCTCATGCCACATCATCATCTTTTCTTCTGTGTTTTCTCCCTTTCTCTTCGTCACTTAATCTAAAACTGGAAAAAAAAAACCACAAATTCCTGTCTTCCTCTTTCTTCTCTTTATGACCTCTGCAACTTTAGTCACCATTATATTCTTAACTATTTCAGAAAATCAACCGTTACTCTCAACGGTGACGCCTTCAATCCTTGCCGTCACAACATGGGTTCGCCGTAACGTAGATAAAAAAGTCTTAAAGCAATTTGATTTCTTAAGTTTGTGAAATTGCAAATATGCATCTGATTGGTGGGTATTAAACCGAGAGATTAAATCAAATAATTTTAACTAATTGAGTTTACAAAAATTTCACATGCGGATCTAATTTTTCTAATTCACCAAAAAATCCAAAAGAAAGTTGGATTCCACAAATAGAATAGAATAGAAACAAGATTTGACCAAAATAATATAACTGGGATTGATGGGAGAATAGTAAACATAGAAGAGAAGGGTATAAGGCAATTGATAAGTTTTTCATAGTAAGAATGTTTAATGTTTTGTTCTACATATTCCATTTCATTTTACTATATACTATTCCATATGTGTTCTATTTACATTAAAAATTGTACTTTTAACCAAAAAATTATATTTTAATATGTTTATGTCTGTTTTGAAAAATTTAAATCATAATACATGAAAAAAAAATTCTAGTTTTTTGTTACAGAAGAATCATAAACTTGAATCAATTTTTTAAAACAAAAAATTTGAGTGAAAATTGAAAAAGGGTAAAAAAAAAGAAAAGAGGAGAGCTTCTCTCTCCTGCCACCTCAGCCTTGAACCACCAATGATGGAGCTCTTCCTTCCACCTCAGCTGAATTTCTCCCTTCTTCGGCAACACTAGTTTAGTCTTTTCCTTCCTTCTTTATGTTACTTTCTTAAATTTTTCAAACATAATGCTATATTCTTAATTAAACATTGGATTTTGGTTATACAGCTAATTCACCCATATATGTTTTACAACAAGAAAAAAAAAAAAAGGAAATACAACAATAAATGAACGTTAAAATGCTTTAAAGAAAAAAGGAAATAAGAAAGGTAAAATGAAAATATGGGGAAAAAAAAGAAAAGGAATTCACATTAATTAGGGTTTTGCTTATATAAACACAATATTACACTTTCCCTTCTCCACAATCTCCTCTCTGTTATTCCACAATTTCTTACGAATCATCTTTCTCTCTGTCTCTGATATTTGGCTAATTTCACTCCGAATATGGAAACTGAATCAACCAAACTCGATGTTCATATAGATGTAGCGGCTACGTCTCAAGATCCGTCGTTAGGGTTCTTAAGCACGGTAATAATCACTCTAGACAGAGAGTACTTGAAGGATGATAGCATCAAGAGTCTAGGATCTTACCCTGATTCTTCTAGTATCGACTCACCAATCATTCTGAAAATCCCACCCTCCGTACCAGAGTATGGCTATAGCGATCTCTATAGCGAACTCCGAGATTATGTCTTGACCAAACATATACTTGATGAGATTGTCAAAGCCCAACTACGAATCCAAAGTGTTGATCACCTGTCGCCACAACAACCTTTATTCATGGAAGTCTCGGTCAAGTTGACACACAAGGTATACAACGTTGTGCCTTGTAGTTCTGCTCCGTTGGCAACAGATTTGGAGACTTGCCTCATCTGTTTCGAGGATCTGTCTATGAGATCCTATGAATGCTACCAATTGCCTGATTGTTCACATTGTTTTCACGAAGAATGTGTCGATGAGTGGGTGATTCGACAAAATTACTATTGCCCTGTCTGTCGCCGACCTTTTTATGAACAATCAGAGTGAAACGGAGTCTAAAATAGGGTTTCAAATTTTACTTTTGTTCTGTGTGGTTGTAATGATTTAGTTAATCCGTGTGTTGGAAGTCTAATTAGGGTTTCAATTATGTTTTTGTTTAATCTTTGTCGTAGACTTTAAGATACTAATTAGGGTTTTTCATAGTTTAGGTATCGATCTTGATACTCTGTTCTTGTTGACAACATGTAATGCAGTTTGATTTTATAGAATTCAGTCTAGATTCTCTAGACTTGAAGTTCGCATAATTATATTTCATTACAAGTTTAATTCTAGTATGTGAAACATATCTGAGTTTGGCTTGCAACACAAACTTACAAAAACCAAATTTCGTTTCAGATAAAGTTAGATTAAAGAAGCAACTATGAAATGTTGTGGTTAAGTGGTTCTGATTCAACTTTGAGGTTTGTTTAATCACAACGTTAAGAAGAATCAATTTCCAAACTGATTCAGCTAGACATAAGCTTGAACACATCCATCTTCTTAAACTAGTTAAAAAACTCATTGTGGGTTCTTTTCCTAGATCTTGCTTTTGATTTAGTTCTTGAGCTGAAATTTGTAAAAACCAAATTTTGTTTCCACCAATCTTGAAGTTTTGAAGTTGAAAAACCTGAATTAAATTCCCGAATTGAAATTTCATTACAAGTTTGTTTTGGGTATGAGACAAAAATCTTGATTGGCAAGCAACTTAAATTTTGATTAGACGTATTGAACTAAGAACATTGCAAATCATATTTTCCATTTTGATCTATTAGTTATAGCAAATATTAATTAAAGTTTTAAGACAGATTCTCTTTTTTTCTTTTGTTCGGTGGAATAATTAAGTTATAAACCACACATAATAAACCGGCAAACAATAGAAAAAAATATTTGGTTTAAGCTCTCTGGTATAATGAGATATGTTTAACAACAAGAAAAAAAAATGGAAATCAACAATAAATGAACGTTAAAAATCTTTAAAGAAAAAAGGAAATAACAAAGGAAAAATGGAAATAAGAAAAGAAAAATGGAAATATGGAAGAAAAAATGGAAATTACATTAACGCGTAAGAACAAATTATAATCAAAGTTTTTTGCTTATATAAACACAACATTACACATTCACTTCTCCACAATTTCAATTTTCTCAACAATCTCTCTCTCTCTCTTATTCTTATCTCTTTCTTACGAATCATCTTTCACTCTGTCTCTGATTTTTGTCTAATTTTCACTCCGAGAATGGATACTGAATCTTTCAAACTCGACGTTCATGTTAAGACTTGGTCTCAAGCTCCGTCGTCAGGGTTCTTAAGCACGGTGGTAATAAGTCTATACAGAGAAGTCGAGGAATTTCTCATTAGCGAGAGCGATGATAGTGTCACGAGTCTCGGATCTTACCCAGATTCTTCTCGTCCCGACCCACTAATCTCTCTGAAACTACCATGTTTCAAACCAAACTACGTCTATCAACTTCTCCAGACCCAACTCCACGATCATGTCATGTCCGAACAAATATCTTATAAGATTGTAGAAGCCCAACAGCTAAGAAGTCAAAGTTTTTACTTGCCACAACAACAACCTTTATTCATGATAGTCTCCGTCAAAGTGACTCAGAAGGTGTACAACGTTGTGCCTTGTAGTTCTGCTTCGTTGGCAACAGATTTGGACCAAGAGAGCCATGAAGAAGAAGAATCGAAGACTTGTGCAATCTGTTTGGAGAATCTGTCGAGATCCGAGGATTATTGCCAGATGCCTTATTGCTCGCATTGTTTTCATGAACGATGTGTCACTAAGTGGGTGGTTGGACATAATAACTCGTGCCCTCTCTGTCGCAAACCTGTTGATAAATAACAAGAGTGAAACAGAGTATAATTAGGGTTTCAAGATATGTTTTTATTTTGTTTTCTTAGTGATTTTGTTAACTTGTTTCGGATGTCTATTTAGGGTTTTCACTTTTATGTTTTGTCTTAAGAGGTAAATTAGGGTATTTCTTATCTGTTTTTGTTGGCAACATGTATTGCAGTTTGATTTAATGTAATTCAGATTCTCTAGACTTGAAGTTCACATTGTTAATTTGATTTACAAGTTTGAATCTAGTATGCGACACATATCTCTTGCAACACACAACACTGACTTAAACCGAATATAGTTTCAGATTATAAAAAAGCAACTTTGAACTTCTGCAGTTGGCTTACCAAATTGAAAGAAGCAAGGAAACAATCCAATACCAGACACTAGCACAGTTTCAGAAGTGAACTAGAGGTGATTCTAGGTTCTGGATATTGAAACATCTTTCAAATCACCAGACGATACTAATGACTCTTATCTACGGATTAACCAAACTCTAGATGGCTATTAGATAGATCAAAGCTCAACGTGCTTGAAGTGATACTCATCTATAGTCGAGTATATTAGACCATCTCCTTCCAGTGATTGAATAACGCCCCTATAGACACATCAGTAAAAAAACAAAGCAAAACTCATGAAATCAACAACTTTGAGAGTAAAGAGAGATATAGATTATAAGGAGAAAGGACAAAAGAGCATACTCTAGCTTGTTCTTTGGGACCTTCAATTGCTGAGCAATTTCATCGATGTGTATCCCCTGTTGTCTTGCACTGCAATGAACAAATAACAATTATCAGACCGACTTTAGGTGAAGCAATGGTAGTAGCAGACTCAAAAGTCTCATGCAAGCAAATTGAGTTGAGTCGAAGTGGTGCAAGAAAAAGGAACTCACGTGCAAGCAGGTTGCTTTAGATAGTCTAGAATCATATCATCCAAGTTCTTGCGCCCATTTCCGTCATTGTTTTGAGAAGAAACCACCTATAAAAGAGCAACAACAACGAGATTCTAAGAACAGGAACAAATGTCATGAAGAAAACCAAAAAAAAAAAACTTGGTGAATCAACATACAGGGTTCAATGGTGTTGCCTGGTTTGTGTTTGATCCACCTTGAAACGTGGTGTTAACCGATTGAGTGACATCTCCAACTTGTTGTCCCTGTTGAGAAAAAACACGTCAGAGAAGGAGGATTGATTGCAAATTGTGATATATTCCATTTTCTTTACCTGTGATTCAGAGTTCTGGGAGTAGAAGTGTATACACTCAATGTAGTGAAAAGTAACCTCATTGAAATCCATAATAGGCCTGCAACACAAAACAGACGATTTCATATATATCTAACAAAGCTTATATCAAACATACCAAAATCTATTGCCAATGCTATAGGATTCAAAACCATTTCAAAACCAAAAATACAAAACATACCTCACAGAGAAAACTAGAAGCTGCGTTTTACCCTGAAAAGTCTTCAAATGACCATTGACACGCACATAGGTTCCATCTCTGTTTCACAATCTCACCATTAGAAAACACCTCCAAAACAAACATGATCTCACCACATAAATCAAACAAAAACCAAAGCTACTAACCGCACCGACTCCATTTCTCTAGCATCGAAAGTTTCATTCACCCTATAACAGAGGCACAACAACACCAATTACAAACTTCAAAACTGACCATTGCATCTATCAAAAGGAATAGTTAAAGAGTGTTTACCATCTTTTACAATCAATTCGTCCTGTTCCATCATCAAGAGTGAATCTAACTTCTGTGACTTTAGAAACATCTTTGTCACACACTAGACCAACAAGTGAGACCTGAATAAACCAAAAACATCACACAAATTGAGTAACACTTTTATTCATATTGAAGAATAACGATAAACAGAGAGATCTAGAAATGGTTTACGTTTGTTAGTGAGATTCCATTGATAACGAGACCAGATTTTTCACCACTGGTCTGAAAACATTCGGTGATTTGCTTCACTGTCACTGGAACAAGACCTTGAAACTCACGATTCTGAAATTCCCCAAAAACACATACAAAGCGGATTTTAGCAATCACAAAATCGATCAATCTAGGGCAAATCAATTGTTACAGATCGGAAACTTTGAATCTGTAGTCTAATCGGTGGAAGATGGATTATTACCTTAGCGGTGGAGGAAGAGGATTCGTAGGCCTGAGAAGGTTGAGAAGACATGAATCCGCCGCCGGAGAAGGCAGAATTAGGCTCGAATTGGCTGCTGGAGAACATTTTCGAAGCTCGGAAATCGGAAAATCGAAAGTATCTGTGAAGAGATTCGGAAGTTGAGAAGTGATCGAAGTAAAGGGAAGATTTTGGGGAATTTTAAGAGCGATGAGTGAATTTTTGGGGAATTTTCCCTCCAATTTTGATTAAGCTTCCCGCCAATTAGGGTTTAACAGCTGAATAGTCCGCTCTCGTTTTATTATTTCGGCGTGGTAAATCTTAAATATAATTAATTTTTTTTTTTGAAGAAAAAAATATAATTAATTTTAGTTATGTAAGTAATTTATATCACACAACAAACTGACAAAGAGAGACATATGGATTATGTAAGAAATTCTTGTCGAGATATACTCGTAAATGGACTTGTGCATTTACATTTACGCAATCAATTATAGAGAGAAAGTGAAGTCGAGAGCAATCAAATCGTGTCAACTCTACATATTTTCTATAATTGGTAATTTGGTATCAGAGCTCGAGAAGTAAAATCTTTGATGGATTGAAGTGTATGTTTAAAACATCCTCGATATCTAAGTAGACAAAGAGTCCGAATCATACCGACATAGCATGGGAGTACTCAAAGATGTGGGGTGGAGTCGTGGAGACAACTATACCACACCCCACATCAAATATATATGCAGCTATCTACCAAGTGATTTAGTATAAAAATAGGTCTATTGGTGACGAAAAACAAGAAGATTATATTCAGCTGTAAGAGACTGCGGAATAGTTAAAAGAGATGAGTATGATGAGAGAATGGTAAGAGATATTAGTACAAAAATCAAGAACGCAAAACACCTTTGATATCGCCGTACTGCGTATTTTATACCGCTTTTCTATCACCTTAGCTTTACCGTCCGATCGATTGGCAAGCCGTAATAAATGAAACAGCACATCCATAATCACAACAGTAGAGATTACCAATCAAAGGCAACATTACGCTTAGCTATTAGTCTCTCTCTAAAAGTAAACAAATATAGATTAGTGAAGAGAGTACTAGATTTGTGTTTTAGCAGATAAAGATTGATTAGCCCTTAATCTTTTACTGAAATATAGATTAATGTAGAGTGTACAAAGCACTGGGCAAGAGGATACAAACTCAACCAAAACGTAACATTTTCAAAAGACTAAATCAGACAAAAAAGGGACCCCAATGGGCCTAAGATACTTTGGTACTAGTGAAAAAACTCAGATAAGGTTTTGGATTTACTCACCAACACAAGCTCCACAAAACTTTGGTTTGTGACCCTACGATACAATGAAGAATCATAAAATCAAACAAAGAGGAGAGACCTGAAAATCGAGGAGCAAGACTAATAAGTGACGTTGTTGGGCAGATTTCTGATGACGTTGCTCTTCATTCCGAGCCTAACACTGCTTTTCGCTCCTCTTTTGTTCATCTCTCTCATCACCTTCATCCTCACTATGTCCTCCTTCGACTGCACTGTTGCTAGACCCATCATCTTGTACCTGTGTTTTAAGACCCAATCACGTCAGATTCTGCAATGCTAATTCTATACAGAGACAGTGATAAATGATCTCTGATGGGTTAAAGACAAACCTGGAGGTTAGAGAGTTGACAATATGCTTCTGAGAAGATGGTGGTGGCTTCTGTTTGTAGTAGCGCATGAATTCACGAGACCCAAGAGTCCTAGACGTTACTTTGTTATCGGTTCTCTTGGTGATCACAAGCTCAGACCCACCAAAAAGCTCTACAGTGTTCACAGACTGACCAGACACAACCATCTGATTTTCGTCTCCAATGGCATAGCTGTACAAACACACATTCCAAAAGAAACAAAAAGTTCAAGCAAAATTTACACAAGATTAGCTAATAAGATACCAACAACAAAGGTGAAAGCAGAAGATTTGAGACCTGCTGCTGTAGTCGTAGAACTCATCAAGTTCTGCATCTTCTTCATCATCACCATCACCATAATGCACTTTGCAATGACCCTTGGCGTCCATATGCTTTCGAACAGCTTCCAAACTGCTAAATGGATGGCACAATTCATTGCAGTACAAACACACAAAGTCTCTCTTGACCTGAAACAACAACAACAAAGATCTAAGACCCATGAACACCGAGGGATAAAGCGATGAGTCAGACTAAACAGAAAGCGCAAACCTTTAGACCGAGGTAAGTTAAAAACCCTTTAGGATCCTTCAAGTACTCGATATCAGGAATGAAAAACCCATGGAACTTATGCATATGAACCATACATTTCTCTATCGTCTTATGCTTCTTATCACACATCAAACAACAACACGGATCCAATTCAAACTCAATACCATCCTCATCCATATCTTCCTCTTCACCATCCTCATTCATATCCGCATCCAAATCCTCATCCGAATCAACCTCAGTCCATTCATCTTCACTCTCTTCACTCTCTTCCTCAATCGAACCCTTCAATTGAGCAGTGTTATTCTTCTCAACACGACGAGGAGGAAGCTGCTTAATAATCGCTTTATCCTGCTCTCCGTTACTCGTCGAAGCCTTTAACACATGACTCTTCGACTTCAAATGCTGCTCATGAGCCTTGGAACTCCTGTAACCTTTATTACAGATTCCACAAGTATAAAGCATTGGTGCTTCAACAGCTTTAACCTTCTCTTGAGCTATAGCAGCTTGTCTAGCTTCAAATAATGCCTCTGTTACTCCAGGAACACCAGCTATCTATAACAACATTTTTTCAAACAATTTCAAATTCATCATCATAACACAGAAAAACCTAAATCAAAATCGATAAACCCTAGACGAACTTAATCACAATTGGATTTTCCCTTGGATTTTCCCGAGCAAACGAAAAACGAAAACACGAGAGATTGATTTCACCTTGCGCTTGAGATTGTAACGGTGCCATTCGGATTTGTAGTGAAACTTTTGCTCAGCGTCATCTTCGAACTCTTTGTTACACGAATTACAAGCTAAAGCTGACATCTTTCTCTATCTCTATCTATGGATCGATTGGAAAACGAAGAAGAAAAACTCAGAGAGAAAGAGTTTCGAGGTTTAGGGATGGGTTATAGGAGGCGACGGCTCGTAGGTCGGCAAAATTTGTTAACGACAAATCTCCAAATCTTTGGTGTTTGCGTAAGCAGTGATGTTAATATGGGTCGGGTTAAGAGGCCGTTTGGGTTTGTGAAGCTAATGGGCTTTTTTAATATAACATAATGGGCTTTTCGATAAGTGATATGGGCTTATTGTAACTGAAACCCTAATTTATTCTATATATGTGTACACTTTGGCGATTAGATGAGAAAGACAATTGGCGAAAAAAAAAAAAAAAAAAAAAAAAAAAAAAAAAAAGATGAGAAAGACAATGCCGTGACAAAAAAAAAAAAAAAAAAAAATGAGAAAGACAATGATGATCTCCGATATTCCGGACGATTTTGAATCGGAACTCTAGGGTTCTTCTGGTTATAGCTTCAACATCTTCTAATGTAACACCGCGAGTTTCTCATTTCCAACAACTGATAGAACCGCGGTATCTTCTTTTGTTTAAGAGTTTTAATCCTGAAGATACTGTGGTGCTATCAGTTATTGGGAAAGAAAAACTCTCGGTTTTATATCGGAAGTTTTTTTTTTTTTTCTTTTTGGCTTCAACATCAGAAGCTTCTTGATTTTTCTTTTTTTTTTTCTTCTGGTTTTATATAATGATATTTACTCAAATACATATAATGAATTCCATGGTGAGTTTCAAAAATATCCAAAACCTTTCATTGTGACGGTTTAATATTATGCTCTATTAAGGGGAACACTCCATTTTTGGTTTGGGAGATCAAACCGAGAACTCGTTACCAAAATTATTATTACTCTGCTCTAGCCAACGTAACTATATAGTCTTCTGGCCATCGCTTCAAAATCTTGACGTCTTGCTCTTACCAATAACCAGAACCATTGGGTTGCTGAGTTTGAGATCTATAAAATATATAAGTCAGTGTTTTAGACATTATGATTGCCAAAGTGCGTATGTGCATGCACTTTTCTTCTCTTGACCGTGTGAAGTAGGTAAGAAAATTGGAACTCAAGTCAAGTCCAATTGACCAAGTCAATCCATATAAATCTATAGACAAAGATATAGGCATATAGCTATCTATAATCATCACTAAAAAGTAATATATGTTATCAATATATTTGGTTATTAGTATGATTTTTTTTATTATCATAGTTGGCATCAACGAAACTTAAGTAAGCAACCATGATACGGACTTCTTCTCAAGTTCATCCGTAATGGTGTGATGAGACTGTAGGCATTGCTGATTTGGCTAAGATCCATGACGTACAAAAGGAAGAGATCGACACAGCAACGTAAACCCACTCAACGGTTCCCTAACTAATAGAGACTTAGTATTTATTGTTGTTGTTGGTGTTAGTTATGTTCTGCAATATAAGATCATGTCTTTCTACTTATAAGGATTCCATTGCTTTGCTATATATATATATATATATGAGAAAATGCCAAAAGAAAAGCAGACTTTATTTGCCAAAAGAAACTTGTGTTTGTGTTGTGTGTTTACACATTTTCTTAGCTTTGAGGAGGCACCTCTTAACATGGTGCCATTTGGTGACATTAACTGGTGACGTTTTGAAGACCATGATATTAGAGTATCCCCAAAAAACACGCAGTACCCTGAAGTGGAACGTCTAGTGTTTGGACACCCTTCCCAATCGGCGTCCGAATAGGCGACCAGCTTGGTTGACGGTGACTTAGTAATATGTAGTCCCTGCTTCTTTGTTCCTTGAATGTGCCTTAGGATGCGTCGCAGGGCATGAAAGTGACTTTCTCTTGGATCGTGTATAAACAAACAGACTTGTTGAACCGCATAACATATATCTGGTCTTGTAAATGTTAAGTACTTTAATGCCCCAGCCAAACTTCTGTAAAGCGTCGGATCGCTCACCTTTGGACCAGCTTCTTCTTCAAGCTTAGACTTAAGATCGACCGGTGTTGAGCACGGCTTACAGTCCTGCATTCCTGCGCGAACCAAAATATCTGAAGCATAGTTTTCTTGGCTTAAGAATACACCATTTGCATTCTTACACATACTATTTTGAAATACAATTTAACTATATTTTTCATCATAATAAATTAGATCTTAATTTTACACACTTCATCTTAATGGATAAGTTATAATAATTTATATCAAAACAATATGTATATTATATCAAATCTATATCCTACTTAATATTAAAAATAATTAACAAATAACAAAACATAATTAATTAAAAAATAGAAATCCACAAAAAAAATTGAAAACAAACATTGTTTAAAAAATTGTTAGTTTTAAGTTTTGGTTAAGAAATTTTTTAGATATAGACATATAAATTTGCATATGTAAATATTTTTTTTTTTTAGATTTTCTATTTCTTCAAGAAAAAAAAGTTAAATATTTTCTGATATATGTCAACATCTAATCGATAGAACTTGACACATGTCACGATCATGCGACTTACTAACTTTGAAAACCAAGCTTTATATAATAAAACCGACAAAAATATAATTAACTCTATTTATTAATTAAAAATATTGTCTATTTTTTCTAAAAAAGCTTTGGGTACTATTTTTTTTTTTTTCCTCTTGATTTATTATTAATTGCAAATTATGAGAACTGTTACATAGACGATTCTACAACTGACAATTCCTTCCGACCCTTATTGGATCCACGACAGCTACACTTCCTTCTTCATGCTCTTGATGGACACCTTCAATGATACACGACCTGACGACACATTCCTCTCTGCGTAGAGTCCTGGCGAACGACTGCACTTCCCTCTCTGCGTAGAATCCTGGCGAACGGCTATCATTGTACATCGCTGGAGATCTCTTGCACACTTGCCTCCATTAATCTGCATATTTGTTAATAAATCGCAGTATCTGGGGTTCGAACCCCAGACCTCTTGGTGTAGAAGCATTAATTAACCCTTGGTCAACCATTGGGCCGAGGGGGCTTCCACTGGGTACTATTTTCTTTCAATAATTTTTTTTAATTTAAATTTGTTTTAAAAATAAATAACCCTAGTAATATATATAAACCTATAACAATAAGAAAGACAATGAAGATCTCCCATCTTCCGCATGATTTGGAATCCGAAATACTCTCTCGGGTTCCGACCAAGTCTCTAGCAAAATTTCGAACTACTTGCAAACGATGGTACGCTTTATTCAGAGATCCAAACTTCATCAAGAAGAATTTTGGTAACGCACCACGTAAGTTGATGTTACTCAGTAATTTTGGTGTTTATTCAGTTAGTATCGATCACAATGGAATTCACAACAACGTTGATCCATCTATCGAGTTTTTTGGTAAACTTAGCAGTCTAAAGGATTCAGAAGATTTGAAAATATCTAAGATCTTTCACTGTGAGGGTTTAATATTATGCATTACTAAGGAAAACACTAGACTTGTGGTTTGGGATTCCAGTAACGGTGAAACCCGACAGATCAAACCGAGAACTCGTTATCGGAAAGAAGATTACTATGCTTTAGGATACGTAAACAGCAAGTCTTCTGGCCATAGCCTCAAAATCTTGAGGTCTTGCTGTTATGAAAACGGCCAGGAACAATGGGTTGCTGAGTTTGAGATCTATGAGTTTAGCTCTGATTCTTGGAGGGTTCTTGATTACACTCGTGACTATGGTATATTTTCTCATGGCATGTCTTTGAAAGGAAATACTTATTGGGTTGCTGGAGATAAAGAAACCGGTATGTTCATGTTGTATTTTGATTTCACAACCGAGAGATTCGGGCGTTTTCCTCTTCCGTTTACGAGTTTTAATCCTGAAGATACCGCTTCTCTATCAGTTGTTAGGGAAGAAAAACTCTCGGTGTTACATCAGAAGATTCTTGATTTTTCAAATGAGATGAAGATATGGTTAACCAATAAGATCGATGAAACCATAGAATTGTCGTGGAGCAACTTCGTTTTAACAGTGGATTATGATAAATTTGATTTACCAAGCGTGGTGAATGTGACAAGTTTCTTGTTGGATGAGGAGAATAAAGTGGCAGTGTGTTCTGATGTTGACATGAAAGATGAAAAAAGGACCCGAATCTACGTTGTCGGAGAGGATATATACAAACAAGTCTATAAAGACACTACAAAGCCATCTTCTATCAATTGGCCACTTCTCATCAATTATGTTCCAAGTTTGGTGCACATTAAGAAAAATACACTCAAAAGGCAAAAGAAAAGAAAATCAAGGGAGGTTAGTTAAGTGAATTTTTTCTTTCTTTCTTCTGGTTAGTCAATTATTCAATAAGTTGTTTCTTTTTATTGGTGATGTAATGATTTTTACTCAAATACATTGTTCTGCTTATAGCCACTTTCACATTTATCTCTCATGCCCTGTTCTTAAAGGTTTCACATTGTCTCTCCGAGCACAACATCTAAATAACTATATTATATGCTCATGTTGTTTCATGAGTAATACAGAACAACGATACATAGAAGACGAAATGGAAAAGATTAGTGACCAATGAGATATGGAGGATTTGTGTAACATCTAAATAAAAGCAACCTTCTTTACATCTATACACAGAATTATTTGGGCATAGTTTAGATATGATGCTAATATATAACAGAAAAAATGAAGTTACTACATAGTGAATCTTATTTAAAAGACACAAACAACTAAATCTTCTTTGGCAAAGTTAAAGTCTATTAGCAAAATCTTCTTATCACCCAAGAACATAGCCACACGCTCTAATCCTCTTTACAACATCAATGATCATCCAAGATAATAAACTTCACAACCATGTTAAAACTTTCATAACCCTCTCTGTCTATTATCTCCATGAAAATATTACTAATATTTTGGAGAATAGTTACATATATGATTCCATTATAAACTACTGACTTTATATATTATTACACAACAAAACTACCCACTCCCTGACTGAGAAGCTTAATTCAGTTTGAAGGGCTTTTTTAAGGCTTGGGGTCAAAAACGAAAGTACGAGAATATGAGCACACAAACAATTTTACGAGATACGGAAACGTGCCT